TGTGTACTCTGGTAAACAAAATACAGCACCAGGCTGTCACTGAACAACAATAGTTACACAGGGAAAGCTACATTCTTCCTGTGTAACCTTCAGGACTGAGCTACTGTAATGTGGGTAATGCATCAAGGTAAAAGTAAAAAACCTTTTCGCTTTATAACCAGTTTAAAAAAGAAAACATTTTACTCAGGTATATATTCTTAACTCAGAAAAGTACTGTACTGCTATTGTTCTCTAAATCAGAAGTATTTCTGAAACGAACAAAATCCTTTTTAAAGATGTATTTTTAATATGTAACTGCAATAAATGATGCTTTTTCATATGTTACTAGAATTCATATTTATTATATTCTAGAGCCATGGTGACCAACCTGTGGCCTGGTGACCCCATGTGGCTCTTTGGCACCTATTATGTGGCTCTCAGGATCTCTGCAGAGAGGTCTTTGTTTTTCTTACCCAAGTGGTTACACAAGCCAGAGAAAGAAAATTAGGTTGTAGACTGAATTTCAGTATTTCAATAATTTGGTGTATTTATTTATTTCACACAATCTTTCTTTTTCTGTGCTGTTCATCCTTTTTCTTATTTCATGTTTTATATAATGGATCTTGTTGAGAGAAATATCAAATGTGGTGCAAGTGATTTTTAAGGGGACTGTATGGAACACAAATGTGACAGCATTGATTTATAAAGGGGCTGAAATAGTACTGATCTCTAGCTGTGTCATTAAAATGTCTCTAGTCCATTACTGTCTCCTGAAGAATGTCCCTAGTCTCCAAAAACTCCTATAGAATGTTTGGTAATTCATGATCTCTGACCATCTCCTGTAGCATATCTTCGGTCTCTGACCATCACCCGTTGCACATCTGCAGTCTTTGGCCAAATCATTTTACATTACATTCACTGATTATTATGGGGTTGATTTACTAAAACTGCAAAATCTGGTGGAGCTCTGTATAGAAACCGATCAGCTTCCAGATTTTTTTGTCAAAGCTTAATTGAACAAGCTGAAGTTAGAATGAAATTGGCTACCATGCACAGCTACACCTGATTTTGCACTCTCCAGTTTATTAAATCAACCCCAATGCCCTTTTGATGGTGTCATGGGTGCACTTGAGGCCCCCTATATCAATTAAATTCACCACCCTGTTCTAGAATCAACATTAGGACCTCCATTTGAGGAATGCAATATCCCATGACATACTTGGAAATTTTATTTTTTACTTTATGTAGCACCCTCCTAGATAGCTAGGGAAAACTCAATCACAAATTGTTTGTGGGGAGGGCTGAGTAGCAGCCTGGGTGTGATAGCTAGTAAGGTCAAATTTGAGTCAGAGCTGAGAGGCTCTGCAGACTAGCTCTCTGAGTCTTCCCCCTGTACTACAACTTTGGATAAAGTTCTAGAAGCAGTGGGCTGAGGTAAGGAGTGGCTGGTCTGCACTCTCAAGGGATCCTTGCCAATCCCCAACAGGAGGCTTGGCAAGGGGCTAGGACAGCCCTTAAGATTGACCAAGCTTGTTCAGCAGCAGAAGAGTTCGGTTTGGAAGATGGAGAAAAGAGGCTGGAGAGCTGAAGCCTGGGAGCACAGATGGAGAGAAGACTGACCTACAGGCAGAGGATCTTGGAGGGAGGAAAGCTTGGGACTTAACAGAGCAAGAACCACCTATGCAGCAGGGAAGAAGCGGCCCAGCAGGAAGGCCTGAAAGCATCCAGCAACCAAGCAGCAGCATAGGAGAAGGACCGAGTGAGTAAACCTGCACCCCCTGGGCAAGTAAGGGAAAGGAGCACTCTGGTAGGAAACTGGTTAGCTGCTACCCAGGACTGTTTCAAACTGCAGTGGTAGGCACTGGATCCCCTACCCAGGGTTTCACCCAGTACAGCTGGATGAGGAGAGGATACATCTAGGGTCTGGAGTGGTACTACAGGAGATGCGGGCTAGCTCTCCAAAAGAGAATTTTTGTTGTCTGAAGAGACTTGCATATAGTTTCAGGAAGGCTGTCCTCAGTTGCCTTTCCCCTTGGGCATCCCATACACCCCTTACCCTATCAAAGTTCCCCAAATTCCCCTAATAATATTTAAAAAAACAAGCTCAAGGACTTATTACTGTCTCCTGGATGCAAGTCTGTGTGAAGGAAATGCATGATGCCTGGCTGTGCAGGACTATAGGGGGACCCAAACTTCAGCAACTCCTAAGTGGGTATTGCTACATTTATACATATTTAATGGTAATTTCTGTACATTTGTCTCCACACTGTATATTAATTGTCTGGTTTTCCACCAGACATTGCTAAAATAATGATTTTCTACTTTGAAAACCAAATGAATTTAAGTAAAAAAACAAGCAAAGATTTCAGATAATATTGAACTGATGGAAATTGTGTTTACTCATTTGATTACCTTAAAGGTACACTCCAGTCTGCATTGGATATTAAACCTTGAGCTGCAAAAATGAGTAGATTTTTTTGGATCACAGTTGTCTACAAAAGATCTTCCATTTAAATGGTTTTCAGTATATGACTGACTGACAAACTTGGAATCTCCCATTTCTTCACAGTGATATTGTTTGTCTATAGGTAGCTCAATATAGGAAAAAAAATTATGAATAAAAAATACTAAAATTAGGCTCAAGGCTAAAGTACTTTGAATGAAGTAGACTTAATACTGTACCATTATGAATTATTACATCTGTCTGTTATTACACAGAAACACATGTAATCACACACAACCACACATTAGATTTTTTTCATCACTTCTGCCACCACCTTGCATAGAAGAGCATGCAAATGGACTACAGCCTGACGAAAATGGCTGTAAGTTGCCTAAATTGTGTTGTTGCATGAAAGATATTGGTTAAGGAAGTATTACTGGAAACTCTGCATTTACTGAGCAAAAGTTATGATTCTGAAAAATTACAAAACTTAAGCTCTTCATATTCAGACACATATCAGGATAGATCTGTCTATTTTTGCCAATGTTTAAATACTTGGCCCATCCCAATATTCCTACCATGTTACAAACATTTTCCCTCTGCTGGTGTGCAGTGAAAAAACTATCCCCTTTAATAATCAGAGAGAATAAGTCCAGAGACAGGTAACAAACATGGTGAAAGGTCTGAGGGATAAAACGTATCAAGAAAGGCTTCAGGAACTTAATATGTACAGTCTGGAGGAAAGAAGGGAAAGGGGAGATGTGATTGAAACCTTTAAATACATAATGGGAGTGAATAAAGTTCAAGAGGGCAGTATATTTAATATGAAACCAAGTTAAAAAAAAACAAGGGGACATGACCTCAAACTAACTGGAGAAAAGTTCAAAACTAAAAATATTATTTTACTGAAAGGGTAGATTATGCTAGGCCTAGGCTTCCAGCAGAGGTAGTGAGTCAGTCAACAGTAAGTGTTTTTTAGGATCCTTGGGACAAACATAGATTTATACTCAAAGAGTGCAGCACCAATAAAATTAATTGTTACATATACAAAAATATGATCCAAAATTAATTAGCCAAAAAATCTTATTTAAAACCTGAAATTATGAAAAAAACAGTCCACATAAAGTCCAGTGGACATAAAGTCCAGACACAGTGGACATAAAGTCCAAGTGTTGAAATTTGAAAACAATCAATCAGCCACCAAATGTGATCCTTCTTCATATAAAGAAATTCAGAGGTCCACCACCAACTTCCTGTGAATTCAAAACTCACTGGAACTGATGGCTGTCATTTCAACAGCATAAGTGCCTAAGGTGTCCGTTTATGAACCAGCGGTAATAGATCGCTGCTCAGTTCTCTGGCATTCTCGGAGAACACAGTTCTCCTGTGAATGCCTTTTATGAAGCGGTGTAGTCCAGTTCTCCGAACGAACGGAGAACAATCTACAAACGCTGGAAAACAGTCTACAAATGCTGGAAAATGGCTGATTTTATTATAATCTCACGAGATTACAGTAAAAGATCAGTTTACTAAGCAGAGGTAAATTATCTCTGCTTAGTTTGCTGTTCCTCCGATTCTCCAGCTCTGGGCTGGAGAATCTGGAGGGGAGATCACAGTTCTCCAGTGAAGGGCTGAACATGTTCTCCGCTGATCTCCTGAGTGTCATAAATTGTGAATGATCAGAGAATAGCTGCGATCCTCGGAATTGCAGCTATTCTCTGTGTCATAAACGAACACCATAGTGTCATATCAAAAACCCAGTGTGTAGATGTAGTTAATGCATCCCAATAGCTGCATCCACAGGTACCTCTCTGTAGAAATGGACTGTGACAAAATAAAGCTCACCAGAAGCAAATAAATCTCCAATAGTGTAGTATTTATTTAAAAAACTTGAATAAAAACACTCCAAATATAGCAATGCAAACTGGCTTACATGTCTAGCCACTGCCAAAACGAGATCCTGTTTTTTTCAGTGCTGATGTTTTAGTGATGATGTCATGCTGATGCATGATCTCAGGTCCCGAGTTGAGGCAAGCCAGTCAAGTTCCTCCACCCCAAACTCGCTCATCCATGTCTTTATGGACCTTGCTTTGTGCACTGGTGTGCAGTTATGCTGGAACAGGAAGGGGCCATCCCCAAACTGTTCCTACAAAGTTAGGAGCATGAAATTGTCCAAAATGTCTTGGTATGCTGATGCCTTAAGGGTTCCCTTCACTGGAACTAAGGGGTCAAGCCCAACCCCTGAAAAACAATCCCACACCATAATCTCCCTCCACCAAACTTTACACTTGCACAATGCTGTTAGACAAGTACCGTTCTCCTGGCAACTGCCAAACCCAGACATGTCCATCAGATTGTCAGACAGAGAAGCTTGATTTGTCACTCCAGAGAACACGTCTCCACTGTTCTAGAGTGCAGTGATGGTGTGCTTTACACCATTGCATCTGACATTTTGCCTTGCACTTGGTGATGTAAGGCTTGGATGCAGCTGCTCAGCCATGGAAACCCATTCAATGAAGATCTCTACACACTGTTGTTGTGCTAATCTGAAGGTCACACGAAGTATGGAGGTCTTTAGCTATTGACTCTGCAGACAGTTGGTGACTTCTGTGCACTGTGCTCTTTAGCATGTGCTGACCCCGCTCTGTCATTTTACGTAGCCTGTTGTTGCTGTTGTTCCTAGTTGCTTCCACTTTATTTAAATACCACTAACAGTTGACCGTGGAATATTTAGTGGCAAGGAAATTTCATGGATGGACATTGCACAGGTGACAACCTATCACGGTACCATGCTTGAATTCATTGAGCTCCTGAAAGCAACCCATTCTTTCACAAATGGTTGTAGACTCAGTCTGCGTGCCTAGCTGCTTGATTTTATACACCTGTGGCCATGGAGGTGCTATGAACACCTGAATCCAATGATTTTGTGGGGGTGTCACAAAAAGTTTGACAATATAGCGTATAAATATATATATATATATATATATATATATATATATTGAGGTAGACTCGATGGACCACTTTTTTTCTGCCATCACTTTTCTATGTTTCTAATAATATGATCTGGAAAACTGTTTGACTTTTTAGGCACAACTAGCATGCATGGGTAATCTAAAACAATGTATGGCTAATCTGAAACAATGCTCATGTGACATCTGAATTGTAACTGTATCAAGCAAATGAAGCCCATCAATAATGTACTCTTGTAAAATTACAAAGCAGATCAGTACATCTTCTGTGAACTGAACATAAGCTACACATGCAACTACAAGTTACAATAAAAAAAGGAATTTTAAAGCTTGTTTCCGATCTGGGCTCCTGCAGACTATAGCATGTTGTGTTATCAGGGAGACCAGCTGTTATTAAAAGAGCTGCCTGTTGTTTAGATAATGCTTTGTAGTTATATTATCATTGATACCACAGAAATTAAAGCTACTGTAAAATACTTAGAACAATTCTTAGGACACAATCTCCATTTCCTGTATTAGATAGGTCTTCTTTTGTTACTATCACTAACGGAATTTGGCATTTATTCAGAGACTATATTGATTAGATAGACAGGCTCCAGTTCCAAAATCAGGTTCAATCATATTTAAAAAAAATACAAACAAAACATCAGGTTATAGAATAATTGTATTAGTTAACCTTTACTTGTATTAGGTCCATAAAGTAACTATACTAAATCTACAAAATGTATGTATGTATTGCTGATTCAAGATATTATTGCAATGCCTTATGACTTTTGAATCCACAGAAGCACTGAACCAGACTTTTAAATACATTTTAAAAAACAAAGTCTTTTTTTAAGCAAAAACTACTGTGCAAAGTGCAGTAACTAATCTGCAACTATAAAATCTGCACAATGCATGATTACATTCTTATTTGTTTTGTACATCCAATATACTTCCCTTTATTTAAAATGGTTGTATCTATCATACTGTTTCAAGGCTTTGATGTGTTCTATAGTTGTGTTCTCAGATGAGAAACTTTTAATTTAAGAAAAAAAGCAAAGTTTTTAGAGACTCAATGTTTCATGAAACATTTTCAGATGTTCAATTTGCATTGCATAACTCTGTCTTTTGGGTGATTCATCGCTATGTATTGGAGACCAAAAGGGAATTCAAGCATACAGATGACAAAAGCCATATCACAGGTTAGGAAGGATTTGATTTGGTACATATTTCACAAGGCCTTACATTTTTTAGCTTGGCCATTGATAAAATGACATAAAAGATGCCTGGAGTAGTTGCATTTGTAACATCCTTCAGTTGAGATAATAAAGAGGTCTTTTTGTTGTGTTGATGATTTTTAATATCCTTTGATTTTAGTCTGTTTCGTGCAAAAACATTTTTTATGGTCTTAGCAAGCCTGAAAGTGCAAATTGGTTTGTTGGGCTGAACAGTCTTTAGGTTTTGGTGCTGTACCAAAATGTGCCGGTTTGATTGCAAGGCATTTTTGATTTTGTTATGTTCAGTGTTGTACCTGGTAAAAAGATAACTAAAGAGTTAGCTTTATCCTTTGGATCAATAGTCTCTACGTAGATTTAGAAATCTTGTTTTGAAAATTTAGACTAAATTTTTAATTTTAACTTTTTGTTAGTGTTGCTGCTTGTGTGTGTAAAGCTTTAGGTGTACAGGAGTTTTTGAATGTGTTGGAATTGGCCATATAGTATGTTTGTTTTCCAGATGATTACTGTGGAAATCAATGTAACCATTTGAGTCAACTTTTTTTAAAAAGGTTCTGGATCGAAATAGAATTAAACCCAAAGCAAAAAATGTAATATATTGCAGTTTACCAATCATTAGATGTAGTGGCTGTATTAGTTTTCTAGGCTCTTACCATGGTGATCTGGCCTGTAACATACCTCCTGTACTATACAGTCACCACTCTGGATGAATGAGCACGGGAGTAGATTTGGGCAGCAGCATTGTCAGTCTTGGGGGAGGGGAGGAGAGTGTTAGATGTACTCATTTTAAATACAGCAACAAACTGAAGCTGAACTCCAGCGTATACTTTGTAATCAGTTACAGCAAACTGTTTTTTCCTTTTGGGAGAAAGCTTTTACATAAATAAATACAAGCTGATAGTTTAAGCACCCCTGCTAGTGTTAAATGGTCTTTCTCATCATCTGCAAGACAGCTTTTCTGTTGAAAAACAACTGGCTGGATCACCAGACGAAAAATAAAAGAAAGAAAGCCACAAAAGCAAACTAATACAGCAATCACGCCTTAGAATTGGAAAGCTGCAAAATAATAAATGTTTGTTTTTGGGTTTAATACTGCTTTAAAGTGATTGTAAACCATAATCCTGTAAAACAACCCATTAACAAATAAATAGATATGAAAGTCAAAGCATCTGTGTATAGATATTGAAAAATATATAAATACCTTTTTTCCCTTTTTTTAAAAGTGTTCACATGCCTTCTGTTCTCAACTGCATATGAGGTAAGGTTAAGCATTTCATTGGATCATCATCAATGGATGAGAGCAGACTGAGTTGCTAGAGTAGCTATAGACCTGACCACGTTGTGCTTTCCTGCTTGGTATGGTCAGTTTTTTAATAGGAGAAAAGAATTACTAGAAGAAACACCAGGAATTTCACACAAAGAGATCAGGATACTTCTTCATACAAGTACATGGTATAGCAGGCATATATCAGGAATATGAAATGTTGGTTTAAAAACTATTGTTTAACCTCCCTGGAGGTATTCCCGAGTGTAGCTCGGGGTAAAGTTTCAGTACCACAAGCGGTAACCTGAGCTACACTCGGGCTTACCAAGCGGCGCTGCTCCGGGATCCCTCGCTGCTCCAGGATCCCTGCTCCGGGATCACTTACCTTGTCCTGAACTCCTGCAATGTCCCTCCTGCAGTGTCCCCCACAATGTAATCCGGCGGATGCCAGCATCTGTCATCTGGGTTCCATCCCCTGCGAGCGTCGGAACGTACGGGGGACGGAACGGCGGGAAATTTGAAAGTGACAAAAAGTGACATTCACTAAAATCACTAAAATCACATAGTAAAACATTACTGTATCAAACCATTTCACATACATTTTGTCCCTAGTGCTTTGTCCTGTGCCCTGCCTGCATTTTACTGTTCTTTCTGCCTGGAAACTGAGAAACGTCCATGGTGTCCAAAAAGTGTCCCTTTAGGTCAAAAGTGGTTTTAGACCAGCTAGAGAACAGCGATAGTAAATCAGAACCACTTGAAGAATTGAGTGATAATGATACGTGGGGGAAATTCGTCATCAGACACTGAAAACTATTTTTGCGACTTTGCTCAGTGATGTGCGAACTTGGAGCTTTATTTCAAATTTCAGTGTTTTTGGTTTGATTATATTGTTGAATTAAATTTATTATTATTATTATTATTATTATTATATTATTATTTTTTATGATTATTTATTAAATTATAATTTATGATTTTGTGTTTCAAGTATTATCCTACCCGGGATGTTTACTAGACTCTTGTTCGGACAGATTTCAGTGAGTTATTCCTAAAAATTACAGGCCTACAATAAAAAAAAAACATATTTCCATGCAAAAAAATGTACCGCTTTGAGCACAGAAATACGGACATAATCATACTGCTAGGGAGGTTATGAGTGAAGGTAAATCCTTCTTCAATGTGGTTGAACAAAATATTGCAGAAAAACATGTACAATTTATGTAGGAAGATTTGTTTCATCTCTGTGTATCACCGGAGGCTAGTCACATCACTGGTATAAGTAAGGGTTTACAGCCACTATAACCCATACTGATGTGAAATGTTAGAAAAGGGCTAGGTTACATCTAGGGTAATTCAGTGAAAGGAACTTTGCTACTGGACATTGGTCAAGAGTTGTAAAAGTTGGGGCAGGGGCAGACTGACCATTTGGAAACTCGGGCACTGCCCGAGGGCCCAGGGTCAGTAGGGGACCCATGAGATGCCCCTGGTACCTTTTTCATAGGCTTTTTTGAGTTTCAGCAAGGGACACAGGGGCCCCATGATCCCCTATTGCCCGGGGGCCCATGAGTTGTCAGTCCGCCCCTGGTTGGGGGTCATGTAGGAACAATGGTAAACTGACAATGTACCTTTGTAAATTGATCCCAGAGTCTGACCAGTATAAGCATTTGTGTTTTTGGGATATGTGGAAGACAGTAGAAAAAAATTCTGGGTGGTAAATTAATAGAAATTCTTTTTCAATTTTTGTTATAATGTTGTTTGTAAAAATAATTTTGATGAGATAATCTTATTTTTTGTGTTACTTGAGAGGATTCCTGGACCACTTTTGGTAGGTATTTGTGTCATTGAGAATTCTTTAGGTCTCTTTGTGGAAATTGTTTCTATGTTGCAATATGATTCCTCCCCCTTTATCAGCACCTCTGACGATCAAAATTCCCATATTTTTTTAGATTTTATAGTGCTAGCTTTTCCCTTTGTATCCAATTCAAGTGGATGCTATTACCCTTGGTTTTTGGATTGGCAGTATCTTGGAAATTATCCATGACTATGATATAAAAACAGTCTATGTAATTTTCTATACTGGAAACAGAATAAAAGTTCTACTTTTTAATGACATTGATATGCATGTGTTCAGTAGTTCATCCGTGTCTTCCACAGCAATATACAAGATGGAATTTGGAACAATATCTTCATTTTCAATAAATATGGGAAG